TTTTCTTTTGGTCACTTCGTAACAACCTTAGATGAAAACGAGTGGCTCTGGGGACGAGAATGCGTAACACAAAGTAGATGGTGTACTTAAATGACATCGCGACAGGTCCCCCACCCTACATCCCTTTCCTTCCCTGCGCTCTACTGGCAAAAAAGTAAGACATTTGACCGACCCAGTTTTCTTTTGGTCACTTCGTAACAACCTTAGATGAAAACGAGTGGCTCTGGGGACGAGAATGCGTAACACAAAGTAGATGGTGTACTTAAATGACATCGCGCACGCGGGAGAAATACGCGAGGCTGTCTTTGCGCGGGCACGCTGTACAACTCAGAGCCGCACCGCAGTGTAACAACATTTTGTCACTGTTTGCTGTGATAAATTATCTTGTGTTTTTCGCACTTTTCAAATCAGTTTACCACAGATACTGGCCTGACTTGATTATTTGATTGGGTGCGTCTCAGAGCTAAAATCGCCCTCTTGATGTCGTTCTTAAGTAAGGCGTAAGCGAGAGGGTTTAGGGCAGAATTAGCAATCAGCAGCAAATTTCTAGCATACCATAATTCTTGAGATACCGAGCATAAACTGAAAACATAACAAACAGAGGTGTAAAGATTCACAGAGTAGCAAGTGATGAAAAGAACAACGACGCAAACTACAACGTTGATGTTGTAATTTCTGCGTCTTTCTGCGCTGACGTGCATTCGAATCGTAGAAGATCTCAATTCCATGCTGGATGAATCTTCAAAATGTTCTGAGTTTCCTCTGCTCTTTCGCAAATTCCTCACAATGCGAACCATGCGAAACGTAAGGAAGGGAAGAGCGATACAAGGAACAAACTCAAACATCACCATAAACAGAGGAACAAGATACTTCAAGGCAACCTCCTTGTCGTTGAGATAAACTGGGGTGTAGATGCACACTCGGAACATTAACGGTTTAAACCAAGCGGTGAATGCCAATAGGGCGATTCGACCAAGTGTTAGGCATCTCTTATGCTGTAGTGGTGCTGTAACAGCAATATAACGATCTAAAGTTAAAATAAAAAGGTTGCACACAGACGTGTAAAGAAATAACCATTGAATCGTTTGCCTCGCAAACCAAATGTGTCGACTGCAAGGAAACAATTTTCTACACGCGTAAAACGGAGGAAGGTACGTAAACCCTACAAAAAAATCCGCGTTTGCCAGCGACAGAATAAACCAGTTCGGTTTCTTGTGAAGATGTCGTTTTGCTATTATCAGATAGATCACAAGGGTATTTCCAGAAATCGCCAGGGCGGTGAAAAGCCAGCCAAAAATCCAGTACAAATCTTCTCCTTCCATGCTCAAGAAAGTTAAAAGACCACGGCTTAAATTCTGGCTTGCTGAAAAAACCTCGATGTGAGACCTTCGATAAGTATAGCTGTGTAACAAAAAATGAACTCGAAAAATGCTAGATTAGGATTGTTTATAATTCAATTTTCGGCTTTGTTTAAAGAAACTTGTTTTAGTTTCTTCAATTTCCATTTCATGATGGCATAGCTAATTACTCCACTCGTATTGTCTTTGGCAGCTTTCAGGAACGTCCGGTATAACTAATTAATTCAAAGAAATCCGCTCTTTATTGAATTTTATAATTAAAGTGAACTTCCGAAATGATATCACAAAAAGTAAAGGGTGCACAAGTTGATATAATTTTGCCGTGAAAATTTAGTTCTATTTGAACTAAACACCATTGAAATAGATTAAAATGAATCGCGATTGGCCGCTTAATTTCGATTCGGGTGGAGTTTCTTATGGCAAAAAAGCCTGTTTACACAAAGATTTGTATTTGAACAAAAACTGTTTTATTATAGGTTTCGTTTGAACACACGTCTTCATCCTATTCAACCTGCGTCCTGTTTTCATTACCGTTGGAGAAACAATCTGGGCTAAGTACACGAAACGTAGGACTGTAGATTTAATGGCAATTCCTTTCAATTTTTCTGTAGGAATGAACTCCTCCCTCCCCCTCCCCCCCCCCAAAAAAAATAAAACAAACAAAAAAAAAACAAACAAACGAAAAAAGAGAATTACCCTGGTGGCGTCAAAAATTGATTGAATAAATTTACATCAGTTGTCGGTAAATTTGAAGGAGACTACTGGAATTAAACAAGAGATTACAGCATGTATACAGAAATACAGTCAAAACTCCCATAAACGATTTCCTGAAATAACTCCAGTCCGGGTGGTAGCTGACAAAAGTGACTGTTGCTTGCCAGAGGTAAAGGCCACAGAGGGTCCATATTACGGACAACTTTGCGCATAGTAACCGTGTTCTTATCAAAAACTTTAGTTATACCTTTTAACGGATTATTAAATGGTAAAAATCTTTGGATCTATGGTGATTGTTTTGTGTTTCGAGGAACACTTCAGGTATCTACACTTTCACGACAATTTTCAGTTTTCGCTCGTGAGAGATAAAGGCGGTTGTCTGTCAAGTGGTCGCCTAGCTACGCGAGGTTGAATCGTATAAAAATTGTAAACAAGCATCTCTAAAAGTGGTCTCTTTTTTGGTCGCTTAAAAAGGTGGACGCTAATACGAGAGGTCCCATTTATATTGATTTAACTTGGAAACTTTTAGTATTTTGAAAAATGGTCGCTTAAGAGGGATGGTCGCAGATTGGAGGTTCGACTGTAGTTGAACAGTTTGAAAAAAGCAATTACAGTTTTTAACCTCGAGTTTATTACTACCGATGAAAAGTACAAAGCGGTACTATAATATACTTTTGATTTGAAAGTTTTAGCTGCAATTCTGTCAAAGGCATAAAACAATGCATCTTTTAATCATGAATCATGCTAATTGAAAACCTATAGCACAAGTGTCAGTTAAATTTTGACTATAATTTTCATTTGCCCAAGCAAAGGTCTTTCTACCTCTCACCTTACCACTCTTCATTTTCATCAGACATCAAATAAGCGCTAAGTTTCTGCTATTTCAGTGCTACTCAAGAATTTTAGCTTTCCTCGCTTGAGATAATCAGCCTTAATAACATTGATCAACCAAGATTCTTACACTTTGTTTTCTAGTTCTTAAAAGATATAATTTTACTACCGTAGTGTACTGATCTCCATAACAACCATATCACACCATATGCTGTACAATAGTTACATTGTGTGACATCTGCATGCTTTAAAACTACTATTCCTGAGTACCTGTAAATTGTAATATATAAGAGAATAACCACGTTGAATAAAGGGAATCAGACATGTGAAAGGGACGAGAGTACTTATCGTTGGAACCCTTAAATGACAACTCTACAACTACTCAGTTTCTGCTGTTTCGCTGCTGGTGGAGGATTTTGGTCCATCCTCTGGTTGATCTGTCTCCATGGCAATGTCAATGTTTCTCTCGCTTGGCAGCAAGGCAGAGTCACGTGATGCTTCAATCGTCAGCAGGCCTTCTTTGGACAAACGTGACGTCACCGAACCAAGAACTATGTCATCAGGCAACGCAATGCGGCGACTATAATCACGTGACATGCAAACCTCGCCATCTTCCGACGTGTGTTTTCCATTCACACTCAGCTCTTTTCCACGAATGTGCACTTTGATCTCTTCTGGCTTGAAGCCACTTACATCCAACTTGATCTTAAACTTGCCGTCATCCTCCTTCTCTTGCACCCGTTTTGAGCCCTCAATGACGAGCGCGCTGCCATCTTGAGTAGTGCGTGATGTCACGGTAGTCGGATCGACATCTTGTGGTAGTTTGAAGACTCTCTTGAACTCGCTTGTGTCGAACCCGTCCTCTCTTTCTGAGCGCTGCTGTCCATGTAGGGTCACCTTGTCGCTATCAACTTCAAGTGTGATATCTTGGGGTTTGAACTGGTTTAGTAGAACAGAAGCGATCTTCACTGCTCCCTTGTGAGACTGTTCCTGTCTTTTAACGCAGCAAGGGTTGCCGACTTCTTGTTCATAGGCCAAAGCGATCTCTCTCCACAGATCGTGGAAAAAGTCGAACCCACTGGGTACTTGATTGTAGTAACTGCAACACAGAAGAAAAGTAAAGTTTTTAATATGATACTTGCAAATAGAAAAAAAAAAACAAAAAAAACAAACGTTAACGCGCATCTTTTAAGTGTCGTTACGATTAGAAATCCTCCATTCCTGCTCATCGTGACTTTGGCCTTCTCAACGAAACTTCAGAATTACTCTCACAAAAGAATTGAAACTGAGTGATTAATGAACGTAACTTTATGCTGATAACTAGCCTAAGGAGTGAGCACTAAATTACGCAAGCAAAGTTAAATCAATTTACGACGGTTCTTCATTGACATATGTATTCAAACAGTTTGGAACTTACTTGCACGGACGATAAGTTGGAAATCTGAAAACGAGAGCCATATTTTTCTTCTGCTGAAATTCTTCCTTTGCTTCCTGTAGCTTGTTGGCACTTCTTTATTTTTGGATCTCTGAGATCTTCCTAAGAACTGTTGATCGCTTCGCCAAAACCGCTCTTATATATTTGAAATTTTTCTTCTAGAAGGATCCATCGTTACTAAATTTAGAGTATTTGTTAGTGCCTTGTAAGCAAAAATGATTACTTTTTCATTCTGACACAGCAGTTCATTTAGAGCATTTGTTAGTGCCTTGTAAGCAAAATTGATTGCTTTTTCATTCTGACACAGCAGCTCAAGAGCAACCCAGAAATCTCCGGAAAATTCTAGAAACTGTGTTACTACGAGCGAAGGTAACGCTGGGATACATATGACGTCATTTTGGAATATGGCGGACAACACCCAAGAGCGATTGCACAGAATGTATTCGTGAAAAAGGGTAATTATGTTGTTTTCGGGAAACTTTGGCTTGGGAAACATGACGAAATTTGTTACGGGGTGTCCTAAACAACGAAGAAGGTATTTAGGTCAGTGGCTTCCCAGTCTTTGAGTCTGTTTAGACTCCACGTTACATTTGTACCAGCGCGTAGCAGGAGTTAATGTGATGTAAGGTTTTAGTTTAAGGCATGGTGGTGTGCCTGGTGGAGTCTTTTTCTGGGTGAGGGTACTCTTTTGGCTGTCGGAAGTTTTGCTCGACAATTTGCCTCGAACTTGATCAAATTAAGGCTGCGTCATGTAATCTTTTGCAAGTAATTTTATCACTTTGTTGGTTCGAATTTATGAACGGTTAGTCTAACAATCTCAAGCTGATGTAAGTTAAAAGAGCTTAAGTAAAATTACGATGCTGTGGTATTTCAATATAGCACGGCAGCTGCGACAGTCTTCTTTTCAGGGAATTAATGGCCCGGTAGTCAAAAATAACATTGGCATTTGTATTGAAACAGTAAGGAACTTACATGCACGGACGATAAGTTGGAAATCTGAAAACAAGAGCCATATTTTTCCTCTGCTGAAATTCTCCGTTTGCTTTCTCTAGCTTGTCGGCACTCCTTACTTCTGTGACCTTGCTAAGAACTGTTGATCGCTTCGCGAAAACTTTCCCTATATACGTGTAGCTTTTCTTCTAGAAGTATCCATCGTTACTAAATTTAGAGCATTTGTCAGTGCCTTGTAAGCAAAAACGATTGCTTTTTCATTCTGACACTGCAGCTAAGGGCAAGCCAGAAGTTTCCGGAAAACTCTAGAAAATTCGTTACCACGAGCGAAATGGACCCTGGGAGACATATGACGTCATTATGCAATATGGCGGACATCGCTTACACAAAGGGGGGCACTAAAGTTTCTTTTCGGGGAGACTTTGGCTGGAGAAACTTAACTAAGTTTGTTACGCAGTGTCTTAAACAACGAGTAAGGTATTTAGGTCTGTGGCTTAACTGTGTGTTTGGACGCTACTTACACGACATACCGGCGGCTTAGAACGCGAAGGAGTTTAAAGCATGATGGTGTGCCCGGTAGCGTCACATTCTTGGTGAGGATACTTATTTGGCTGTGGGTTAAGTGGTGCTCGACATTTTTCCTCACACTCGATCAAATTAAGGCTGCCTCGTGGAATCTTTTGCGTGTAGTTTTGCCATTATTTTGTTAGTTCGAATTCATGAACGTCCAATCTTACAAACTCAGGCTAACAGAAATAAAGAGCTTAAGGGAGTTAAGGTATTGTGGTATTTCATTATAGTAGGGCAGCTGGGAAAGTCTTCTGTTCATTGAATCAATCGCACGGCATTAAAAAATGTTCACATAATTTCTGCTAAAAGATTCCTTCTAACTTTTTGAGTGTCAGATGGCTGTTGACAAATGCTAAAGAATTTCACAAATTCTGCTATTGTTTTGAGTATGTGTATTATATAAACCTGGGCACTCAGTAAAATTGTGAATTAACAACAAATAACTCAATGTCTGGCCATAACCAGGTTGTCCCATTACACCCTAACATCAGTATGGATATTCTCCATACTGTTCCTTATATATTTTCTCAGGTGCTGACAAGGAGAATTAGATTATCAAAGCAATCTTTGTAGTAATGAACACTACTTAAGCAGTGGAAATAAGGCCAGAAGAAAATTCAGGCCTTAACAGGAACCCAGGACCTCTGCAATACCCGTTTAGTGCTCTACCAACAAAGCTAACAAGCCATCTGGGAGCTGGTCATCATGATGGTTGGTGAAAAACCAATGAAGAGATGAATAACTGACTGTGAATATATAAAAATCATAATTGTGAAGTATGGGTTAAGAAATGAATATCAAAGTGATCTTTGCAGTAGTGAACACCACTTGAGCACTGAGTAGTGAAAATCAGGCCTATTGATCAATTTTTTTTTTTTTTATTCTCTGAACCTTGATGTTTGATTTAGGGGTGATATTGTGAGTATTTCACATTGTGCCACTGCAATCAGTACCTTTGAATTCTGCAGAAAAGGCACCATATAAATTGAATTAATATTAATATCATTATTCTTATAATTATTTTTTGTTATTATTATTTTACAGTTTCTCTGTACTTTCAATATTCCCATAAAATTCTGTGGTTTGCACATTAATTGCATGAGAAAGGTTGGTACTGCACTTGACAGATGCTTTAGGGGAGAACTTCAGTTAAGTTTTTATTTAAGAATAATGACTTTAAAACTTCCCTTTGTTCTGCCAGGTATATGGGTGACTAGCAGTTTGAGATGGATTTTGTCACAAACTTTGAGCCATTTCTTGAACAACTGTGGTTTTTACTTCATGAAATAAAATTAATGCCCTGTTTCTATGACAAACCAAGCTGGCATGTCACATTTAAGTTGATTTGCTTTAAAACCCTACACTTTTGGTAAGATTCTCTAAGTTAGACAAAGAAAGCAATTATGACAGTTTTAAATATTTATTGCCCAAAATAAGTTACATTATTTTATGAAAATAATTTGTAATATTGCTAACTCTATAACAATGCCCTCATATGCTTTTTTTGTCTTTGAAATGTATAATTCTAAAATCAGTTGTCAAATATGAAACTTTCCTGAAAACTCATACTACATATTTTCGTTTCACTTTACTCGCATGAAATTATCAGCTGCGCTAACATTTATCGAATAAGATTTTTAAACTTTGTNNNCCGGCGTTAACCCTGCCTTCTTTCACTATCTGTTTTCCACTGACTCTCAACTCATTTCCATGCTGTTGAATCTTGATGTCTTCGGGCTTGAAGCAACTTACATCCAACTTGATCTCAAATTTGCCTTCATCCGCTTTCTCTCCCACTCGTTTGAAACCCTCTAAGACGAGGATGCTGCCATCTTGAGTAATGCGTGACGTCACAGTAGTCGGATCGACATTTTGCGGAAGTTTAAAAAGCCTCTTGAATTCACTTTTGTCGAATCCGTCTTCTCTCTCTAAGCAGAATTTTCCATGTAGGGTCACCTTGTCGCTATCGACTTCAAGTGTGATGTCTTCAGGTTTGAAGTGACTCAATAGGACAGATGCAATCTTTACAATTCCCTTTTGAGGCGGTCCCTTCACCCAGTTGGTGACGTCTTGTTCAAAGGCAAAAGCCATCTCCCTCCCCATCTCGTGGAAAAGGTCGAACCCGCCAGGAACTCCGTTATAATAACTGTAAGATAAAAGAAAAAAAAAAAAAGGAATAAGTCATCAAAAACGCACAATTACTTACGTGAGGGTAACTTGGCGCGTTAATATGCGAAAAGTGAACTTTACGGGAAAGCAAGCGTGATTCGTGAATTTATGAACCATCGTGAGGCGGAATTACCCTCCTGAAATATACGACTTTTATGAGGAAAACCTCAGGATTTCCCAGAAACCTTGTACACAAAAAGAAAGATGTGAGGCTTTCCCTTTTAAATACGAAACATGAATTTGGCTAAACTTCATGCGCGAAAGGGGATGAGGACCTTCGCTTCGCTACCCTCTTGTCGTCCAAGCTTCCTGGAACTGCATATACATTTAATATGAACGCAACAAAGTATAAGAGACAGACAAGAATTTGAGCTTTGATGTAACGCTTGGGTCAAATTGTAACTGACTGTGAGCAGAATTACAATTTTTGAGAATATGCTTCATTTAAACCCTCTTGTATAAAGTATTCTACCCGAAAAAACGAACATAAAGTCTGTACGATAAATTTCATCGAAGTTAAGCCCCAGGAAAATGTGGAGCAAAGTGAAAACCATAAGTTTTCTCCTACATTATCAAATAATATCTATGGATGTTTTTTTTAACTTACTTGTATGGGTGATGTGTTGGAAATCGGAAATGAAATGCCATGCTCTCGAGTTCTTGAACTTCTTCTGCAAATACTTGACTTGTTTCTTCTGGGATTTCTGAAAGTTTCTTAAATTGTTGATCGCTCCGCAAAACTTCGCTTTTATATGCTTTGAACGATCTATCTCTTCTAAATTTAACCTCTTTGTCAGAAATTTGTAAATATGACTGAGGAAGAATCTATCTGACACAATGTGACTGGACAAAAATCGGCATATTTTTAGTTTCTTCTTGAAAAAGCGGGTTGATTCTGGAAACTGATAGATGTAAAATTGACAAATTAACATTTTTATTACGCGCGAAAAAGATGCTGGGAAAACCTGACGTCATTTCCAAAACAAAAACAACCTCATGAAGGCAAAATGGCGGACATGCAAATTGCAGGTCCAACAGCCATCTTTTCTTCTAAAAAGCCCATAATAACGAAATTTATACCACGGAGTTCATAGCAGCAATGCCGTGGTTCTTCCCTTGGTCGGACTTTATAAAGAAAAGGGCCTGTAGATATCTCTTACAGCACTATCTCGGCCATTTTCTGCAGGAGAAACTGACGTTAGACCAGTTGACTGTCGATCTTTACAATGGAACCGGTAGAGTGGACAAAGTCCCATTGGACGTTTGGGTAAGTTAAGTCAATTTGCAGTGTTAAAGGAACAAAAGAAGATGGCTTCGTGCTTTCTAGCTTAAAGATTTTGGATAGAAGCCCCGCATGTCGCAGCCCGAAATGAATGGAAGGAATTCCAAATATCGCAGTTTGAAATAATTTCTCATTTTTTGGTACAATGTAGTATTTTATTACGTTGGGAATTGACTTGTACTCGACTGCTACTGATAATTTCATTATAGTTATGTTCTTTAGTTATGTAATGTGTCGAAGTTCTCAGTTCACGTTATTTTGTGGGTTTGAAGTTGAACCTTATTTGCAAAAACATATTTTTTTCATTTGTTTGCCATGTTGTTAAGTTTGAATGGAATCGAGCCAAAGGCGTTAGTTGATATTCACACAAATGTTTTTCTGTGATTTACTTGTATTGTTTTCGTGGAACTCGTCACATAAAGCGTCAACATTTAATGTATATATTTCAGATTTTACTTGCTTTATTTTTGTGAAGTTGATAATAGGAATTGATATATTTCAATTAAATGTTAATAGCATTTAATGCCTGTTTGTCTGTACTGGGATAGTGGTTAAAAAAAAAAAAAAAAAAAAAAGAAAGTGAAAAAAAAAAAAAAAACTCAAAATGCCATTTTAAAACCTAGGTTAATTGTCCTTCCTTATGTGTGCTATAGAACCAATGTTGGATGTGTTATCTAATATTTTTAAAGCTATATGTAGGCTTCTGTTTGATGCTACCAGAAAGGAAGTTTAAAAGAAGTGAAAGTGAAAGTGAATGATTGGATACCTTAATAGCAGCATAGGCTGAATTGCTAAGGTCTACAGTGTTACTAAGGTTGAGATCAGACGTCAGCATTATCAGGCGCCTCTGGTAGCCGCTTTAGTCCATGTAACGACCTCAGCTTTTCCCCCCACACATTCCACCCCAGGGGAGGACATCCATCACACAGTAATCTAGTGCGTGGGAAATTAATGTCTCCTGCCCCTAACCCTGCAGGAGACGGGCCCTCCATTTATGCATCCTTATCCAAGAAGACTATAATATCTGTCCCTTTCATTGATGTTATAGAAAGGTAGCAAAAATTCTCCTCAGTTGTTTTAAGACCATGAGTATTGGTCCGGCCGGGGCTCGAACCCTCGATCTCCCGCACAACATAATCTGGTGCTCTAACCAATTGAGCTAACCAGGAGGCGGTTACTTTTTACAAGGAACTGTTGTCACCTCAGAAAAGTATTTATGTACTTAATATGGACATCTGCTATGTAGTTTTGATGTGTAGTTAAAATTTTTGGGCTCAAGTGATGTCCAAGGAAATTTTCTTTCGACAAAAAACAGTGGTCTCCTTTTCAGACGGTGAACAGTATTATTATATTATTAAATCTCTTATGCTGTGTTCCCTTGATTTTAGTCAGTGAATGAAATGCTAGACAATGCTGGAATACCATTGGAGATCATTGATGGGTTCATTGGCAGCATTTCAGTGTCTGTTCCTTGGACAGCTCTTCTCAGTGAAAGCTGTTGTCTGGACATCCAAGGTCTTGAAGTTACCATCATGCCGAGACAGCGAGTGGATACAGGTACTCTAAAGGCAGGTTTTTACTTGCAATGGAGTCAGATTGATAATAAGAAGGGTAAAGCAATACAATTTAGTGAGAATCAAATAGACAGAATCAGAAGAAAAATCTCAATGCCACTTATGACTCTCATTTGCCTGTGATCCCACGAAAACTGGATTGTTTAATTGGTAGGCCATTAGATGGCCTGAAAACTTGCGTTGTGATTGGTTTATTCTTGTGACTCCCACAATAAAGTTTTTATAGGATCACAAGTGTCACAGTCATTTAAGTACAATTGAAAGAAAATAGATCAGTTTGGATTCTTCCGACTCCAATTCCCCTGAGTTTGTGACTTGCTTGCCACTAAGATTTACCAGGTTTCCGAAGCATTTTTAACACTCTGACTATGACTGATTATCCAGAAGTCACTGTTACTGTGAAGACCATTCTTAACTTATATTCATGGGTAGAGTTACGTGCAAAGCATTCTCATTAGTTAGAGTGTAAGTGGTTAGATCCATCAGGTAGACTTCTTATACTTCAAGTACAAACAACACAATTGTCTGGTAACATCTATAGACGTATGACAAATTTTCCTCTTTTTTTTAGTTTTAATAGCATTGAAAATGCCATTTTGCACAAATTTTGGAGATATTTCCCTAAAACAAATTCAACTACTACACAAATCATTTCTGAAATGATGATAGTGCACATGACAAACTCAGCTTCAGGTGAAGAAAGAAAAAGAGCACAAAACCAGTATTGTTGTGTAAAAATGGATTTCAAGAACATTCTCTGTTCATACGCTTTGTAAACTTGTAGTGGTTTGTAAAAATTTCCTCAAGTTATAGCTTAGTGTTCTTAGCTTACACCCATTATTTTCCACAAATCAATTGTCTCAGACATAGAAGTATCCATTTTTGGGGAGCAGCTTAAGGCAAGCAATGAGCTGATCTGTGGATAAACAAGATAAATGTGTTATGAATGTTACAGACTGAAGGAAAATTTAAACTTTTTAACTAAACAGGAGGAAGTATGACTGATTCAATGATCTGGAATGCAATGACCACAAGTATGCAACTGGCTCAGGAGTGCCTAAAGGAAAGTCCATCCAGCGGGGAGGAACAAGCTGAAGCTAGCCAACCCTTTGAGGGTTTAGAATCCTTTGCACAAACTATAGAGTCTGGTGAGTTGTTTTCACTCAAGCTTTTTTTTTCCTGTAAGTCAAGTGGCTCAAGTTTCTAAAATAAAAGAAACTGTGGTACTGCACCAGGAAATGGTATTACCAACAAGATAGTTTCAATTGGTATTATCAACTGAGTCAAAGATGTGGAGTGGTCTAATTGTAAAGGAATTTCAAGGCTGACATTTCAAGTATTAGCCCTTTGTCAGAGCGAAGCGATTTACTCAAAACCTCATCTTTGGAAACTTTATGTTGGCCAATTCACATTATCAACTCAGTTGATTAAACTATATTTGTTTTCTCATTTTGGTGTGATAAACCAGTTGTGAGAGTCTCAGTTCTGTTACACCAAAAATGATTGTATAATATTGCCACAGTGAGCCCCAAAGTAATTGTCTTTTTTTTTTTGTTGACTGATTAAAAAAATTACTCTCTCTCCCTTGATCACAGTGTTAGCAAGAGTGAAGCTGTCTTTCACAGACACAGTGATTAGATTTGAGCATTTACCCAAAGATACAGCGACAGGGATAGGATTAGAAATACACATTAAAAGGTATAAGATGCATTACTCACTTTTGGAATAGTATTGAATGAGTTAAATGATATATAGTTGTCTTTTGAAAGGTGTCAATTCTTTGGATAGAGTTACTGTTAGTTTTAAATTGATGATGTCAACCTTATTTGCAGAACTGATTATTCAGACCTTTCTACCAAGCTAGCTGAGGAAGATAGTCACTTTAAGGCCAAGAGTGTCTATGAACCTGCTGCTTGTGCATGCAAAAACCTCAAGATCTTTGGAGTTACTGTCCATCTCGACGAATTCCCAGAGGAGTCAAGGACAATGCCTCAAGTCCCTGACTTTTCTCATTCACCCCCACTCTCCCCTAGTGGTGGGTCATGCTCTCCGCTTCTTCATAACCCATTTAATCCTCTTGGGAGACCTTCATTATCAGCAGATCAGATCAGCAAACCTCCTCTCTCAGGGAGCCTATTGCCACAAATTAAGATCCTGACATTTGCTGGTCACTCTGAGATCAAACTAAAACTGAAACAGAATGTCACTGTACCAGGGCCAAAGGTAAGTGGATGATGGTGGGAACTGAATCAACTCTATACCTTTGTCAGCTCTAGATGTTAATGTATTTTTAATTATTATTACATTGTTATGTCATTTTACCATGATATTAGCCCAAGGGCAATGGAACAAAATTTGCCATTAGTAATACAGTACTGTAGAAAAGGGCAAAAATACAAACAGACAGAAACATTCCGTGCTGTCGTTGATTTCTTTTGTGTTCTTTAGACATGATTTTTTCAGCAAAGCCCATAAGAATCTTTTTTTTGGTGATCAAAAACATTTATAATTCTAAAATAATGGTTGTTTTTTTCTTTACACAAGATAGACCATACAGAGCTTTGAAAACTAGAAGCCAAAAGACTAGAAATGAAATAAGGGAGGAATAAGAATACCTTCTCTATTAATTTTACAAGCTGACATTTTACTGATTGCTGGAAGTTTTCCTTGCCCTTCAGGGCATGGAAATTATAACAAAACTCACAAAATATCTGCATGTATTAAATGGTAAACCATTGAATAAGGTGTATGTGTTCCATGCTGTACCATTATCAGAACTTTTAGTCTCTTTGTCAAGTTTTCATAACCAACAATGAAAGAGCTGTGGAATTACCATACAATTGTTGGAAATTTGATGTTCTATCTACTGTTGTTAAATCTGAAGATAAAGGCATTACACACTTAGCATACAATGATTACAACTTAAGTTTCTAAGTACCACTACAGTGGAATCTAAAACTAAATAAGAACATTACCAAACTGTACAATTACCATACACTTATGACAGAACTTTAGTTTCTAATGCACTGCTGACCAAATCTAAAAGTAAGCAATTATCGTACTCTACAATCACTTTACAATTATGACAGAAATTCAGTTTCCTCAGTTTATCTGCCACTGCCAAGTCTAAAAATAAGCACTTAAGGTAATACACAGTTCATGTGCAATTATGAAAGAACTTTTGTTACTTCCTCTGTACCACTTTCAAGTCTAAATATAAGTAATTAACAAGGTAGTACTACACAATTACCAATTATGATGGAAATCCAGATTATAAATAACACTATATAATTTGGATATATCAACAAAGTTGAAATGGTAAATTGGCCACCGTAACAATTACAAAAGCTGACGTTTCGAGCGTTAGCCCTTTGTCGGAGAAAATAAATAACACTGTCATGTTTATAAAATTAGAAGTAATATTGTGATACACTCTTGATAAATAGAGATTATTCTATGGAAAGAGCACATAAACAATTTTCATTCATGAGTAGTGATGCATAAAAAAACTAGCGAGTGAGTGTAGCGAACAAGTGAGTTTTTTGATGTATCGCATCTGGTTAATAAAATCGTTTGTGTGCACTTTTCATAGTATGATGTTTTTATTTCATGTATACATGTAATGAGGTTTCTTCTTGCTGACTGAAAAGAGATTGGAAGGGAAGGACTGTATAAGTATATCATCTGTCCAAATTAGAGCCACGGATGATAGAACTTCACAGTGTAAATCTCAGTGTGTATGAAATTACTTTACAATTGTGACAGAACTCCATTTTCTACAAAGTTAACTGAAGTTTAGTTTTTAACCCTGGAAGGATCAGAAAGTTGTGAATTAAAAGAGGTGTGCAGGCCGGGTTATTATAGGAGGTCAACAGTATCTTATTTTAATGTCATTGGAACTATTACATGTATATATCTACAATGAAGTGTCTGTTTATGGGCAGTGTTTGTCAGTAGAGGTTTAATTTGAGATCTCAGTATGGGAAGTTTGTTGTTTAGGCCATGATCAAGTGTTACTGCCATTTCCAGCACCATTGTATGTATTTCAAAGTGCTTATCATGGTTAATTTTTTTTCTTTAGGTGGATGTTGAGTGTTTTATTGGGACAATGAATGTTTTCTTGTCACCAAAACAACTCCACCTACTCTTAGAACTTTGCAGTGGATTTTCATCTCCAGGTAAGATACAGAAAAGCAAACAGGCAGATATGCAGACATGCAGACATACAGAAAGATTAAAACAAGTTTTTGGGTAATTTATGGACTAATAAATGCAGTGATATAGGTAAACATGCAGATGTTCCAATTATATTTTATGTCACTTCAAGTTGATACATTTTCTCCTTGAGCTGCTGCAGTACTAAATACCTTTGGGACTGATATTGGAAAATGAAACAGTGGAATGGAAGGATCCTTTTTTTTTTTTTCCCTTTCAGATATATCCAACCATACTCCCGACAAAGGCCATGCTTTCAACAAACCCATGCAACCAGAAGACTTCCAAAAAATAGAACAAGAGTTGCAGAACCAACTGATGTCCACAAAGCAGCAGGAGCAGAGACAGCGACAAGGGCAGCAACGTGTAGACTCTTGGAACTTCTCCTTCGACTCTGCCACTGCAAATGACACACCTTCACACTACTCTTCAGGGACTGATTACAACAGCATCTTAGGAGGGGAGGGAGAGGATACATTTTATTCCATGTCATCTAATCATGATGTGCTACCTCCTCTGGAGGAACCAGTCTTACCAGCTGACATGCTGCCTGTAAAATCATCAGGAAGTCTGCCACATTCAGCAGAGTTTTCTCCATTAGGAACTTTGGGTGGGGTGCAATCTTCTCATTATAACTTGATGAACTCTATAGGATGTGACAAGAGATTCATGAGCCACAAAACACAAATACCAGGTGAGAAAATGTTACAATATAATTGGCAGCATGATTTCTAAAAGGGGGTAGATGCCATTGTAAATTTGCATTCCTCACAGCCAGGGAATTATTTAACCTTTTATATCCAAACTTCAGGATGCATATTCTCCATACTGATCTCAGTAATAATAATAATAATAATAATAATAATAGTAATAATAACAATTATAATAATAATAATAATGATAATAACAATAGTAATAATAATAGTATTAATAATAATGTCACTAGATATTACATATGAATAGTAGAATTGATTTCCATAGAACATTATTGAACATTAAGACATTCAAAGTATTTACAAATTCTTTTAATCATATTTACTCATTTATATTTCTAATTGACTGTATAATTATATAGATCATAGTCGACACTGTGGCTGACCATGGCTTAGTACCCAGCCACAGCTTTAGTTTTGTTTTTATTCTGGGCATCCAGATGTATATACTGCTGAATAGTTATGATCATGATGATATTGTGATGTTATTATTCTGGATTGTATCAGGAAGCTACATAAAAGATGAATAACCTTTTAAGTTAAACTTTTTGAACCATCTAACTCGCAGGATCAATTTGTTAATTCTCCCCTCAAGCTGCTACACATTTCCCAGTAAATTAGTTACAAAAATTTGATATTGGACCAAGATAACAACTCGACAAGCTGACAACTCTGAGTACACACTTTAGGGGTTTGCTGGATAATGTTTGGTTATTGTGAGGAGAAGTTACATGTTGATCACTTCCTGGCGTGAAAGGGTTAAAGGATTGTTTGATTTTCAATTTGTATTTTTACTCATTTAGGTACCTCTCTAGCTGAAGCTGCCAATACAGTCTTTGTCCGTGCAAAACAAACTGTGCCTGTTATTGATGGTACTGCTAGTAAGTGAATCACAATTGTATAATTAACAATTGGTTCATATGTCAGCGTGCGTTCATCGAGATATGAAGCATGCGGGAAGTTTGGAGAGCATGAAAGATGCGTAAGAGTTGCTCGAGGCATAGCCGAGAGCAACTCTAGCTTCTTGAGTGCTCTCCAAACTTCCCAAGTGCTTCATATCTCAGTGAATGCACGGCTGATGTACATGTATGAATGAATTGTTTTATAACATTTTCAATGCTGTCGTTTATGTATAAAGGGCAGAAACTCCCTCTCCACTTCAATGTGTTGTTTACTAAATGTTTTGGAAAAGTATTTTCCTATGCTTAATGATCTTGTCTCAGATTGGTCAAAAACTGACAGGTGAATTCATGCATGGAAATGAAGTTAGAGTTGCGAAACAAGATGAAACCGTTGATTGTTTTGTTTTCCCTTTCTCTGAGTTGTTTCTCAGGAGTTAAAAAATCCATTCCCAAAGAAAAAGGAGGCACATCTTCATCCGCTTGTTCACTTGTTGCCATGTCTAGTTTACCTTTTTTGCGGAACTTTTTCCCGTTTTCTTAATGAAAAATGATGAAGTCGCTCACGAGAAAAAAGTTTTTTCGCTAGGCATTTGTTTGCTGACGTCACCAGTGTGCGCAATGGAAAATTGAAGCACCCTCGCACTATTGAATTTGATTGCACAAATTTACAAGCTATGTTATAATGTGAATTAATCTTTTAGTGACCTTGATTTTGGTCAAGCTTGAGGAAATGGCTACCACTACCAAGTGAAACTGTGCTGCCATTTAAACTTGAGGGTTGCCTTATTAATGTTTGTGCACAAAGGCCACAACATTTAAAATTTAATATAATTGTGATGATTATAAAACTGGCCACACTTACGGAGAAATGTTTTAAGTTTTCCTTTCTTCCCTCAAATCAACTCGCCATGACATCTGAAAGTTGAAGCAAGTGTGCTAGGCACTTAAATCCAAGGATTTGCAGTTTTAATGGATTGTAAACTTTGCATAGTCCTATTAGTCTTATAGCATTATTTGATGTAATGAGTCCAGCATGTGTATTAAACACAATTTGTTTTAGATACCCCTCAAAGCAATGTTTCAAGACGCAGTCTTTCATCATCAAGCAATCCTGGTCTTGCTGGAATAGCTGCCTTGGATGATCCCTGCCCAGATGTAACTAAGATAAGTCTGAAGCTCTCCAGTGTGGCTGTGACAGTGCTCCACATTGATCCAGTGCTGTCTTCAGTGCTGGATACAAGGGGCAATCCTTCTAATCATGATGACAAACAGATTCATCCATTGTCCCAAATGGCTGAAAAGTTTTTTACTGGTATTGGCACTTACGGATTTGGAGGGAAAGACTTTGAAGAGATGTCTGCAAAATTTACATCAGCATGCTGTGCAGATCATCTGAGGTATTTGTATTGAGGTTTCATATATGTTTAACAGCTAGCACTCCAACCTCATGTTTATTCAGCATGACCATTTGTCATCCTCAAATGATAAAATGGTTGTAAGAAACAACATTTTAATGGCCAGTAAGAAAATGGTGAAGGACACTCTGTGCTATATACTGTAACATTTTATTTATTGACTAAACTGCTCATCTTCATATGGGACAGCTTGCCAAGCTACTGCCAAAGGCAGGTAGCCAACTATGCAACTTTCTTTGCATATCTGGTGGCCAATTTATCGTTTTACTACCTTTCCAGGTATTTAAAACTTTCTGAAGATTTTCTGACATTTTATCAATCCTTTAGGTGCATGGTTGCTCCCCTGTCATTTGAGTTTGAAAAAGTAGTCAATAGCTCTCATCAGACTGGAAACAGTGAACTGTCTGCTGGCAAATTGGAGGTTAATGAGTATCTTTTTGAGCATTCATCCTCCTCAACATCTACCCCAATGCCATATTCCTCCACACAGGTAAATACAGTCAATTTTCTCTTTATACAACTACATTCTTAACCATTTGACTCCCAAGATTTCATTAGTAATTCTTCTTACACTCTCTTATACAATTTGTATGAAGTACGTTATGTGTAGTTTGGAGAATTTGGTATTGGATCAACTAATAATCTCTCCAGTCCAATTTTCACTTAATTCACATCACTTTTCTACCTGATATTGTATTGGTGACAAAGAGAAATTCGGTCTGGCGCACTCATGGGATTTAGTAGTCTACTCTTTTACCTCCCAGATTTACTTAGTAAGGTTTTTTTTTTTTTTTTTTCATTTTTGCTGTTGTTGACGATGACCTTGTAATAGAGCTCTGATAATTGTTTGTTCTATGGTATTTCTCACACAGATGTGTAATACTGTTATTTACTTTTTTCTTTCAGTTGCTGAAGTTGTTTTCCAGTGATAGCCAAACTGCCACACCATACATTGGTTTGAATCCAATGCCCTGCCTGAGGATTAAATACAGAAGCACTCAAAGAACAACTTCTCCAGTCAGTAAACTCACTCCTCTTGCAATTATTTTTATTTCCTTTTAATTTGTAGAAATTATTTTTCAACTGTTCTGCTGAGTATATTCTTTATCCCTGTCAACCCTAAAGAATGACCAGTATCTAATTTCTCCTTACAATATCAGCCCTGAATCAAATATTAAGGTCAGGAAAATAAAGGAAATGATCACCAACTAAAGAAACTCTTGATTGTTAAACAAATTCTCCTTGTCAGCACCTTTGGAAATGTTAGAGAAGCAGTTGGTAGAATATGCATTCTGATTTTAGGCTGTACAGGCTATTTGGAATGTGTTAGCATACTGATTTGCACCACGTAATCGGAATGTCCTCTGTCTTACTGGGATAAGCGCTGGCTTTGACAAAAAGTAGGCAATAGTACCATTTTCAACTTAGAGCACATTAACCAGTACCTCCCTCTCTGTAAAAAAATTTAAGACATATTTTGGATGTAAAAAGTTGGCAGCCCTAATTATTGTTATCCTTTCCTCCGCTATGAGATCTGGCTGGTGTGTAAGACACTACGACAACTTTGACGATAGTTTCCTCTGCAATTTCTAGGGGGTTGTTCAAGGTCGCAACATTGTACTTCCCAAACTGGATTTATCTCTGGAGCTCGGTGGATTGCTTTGCGAACTGGATGTCTCCATTGTTGACAGACTGACGGCATTGTTAGACCCTCAACCAGTCTTCATGAACCATCCCTCTAATATGCAATCTCGCATGTTCAAATCCTGCAATCCAACAGTTGTGGTATGTTGCTAATAAGCCCATCTTGTGCTCAGATTTATCCACGACAATTTTTTTTTGTGCGCTTGACTTCAGATGGGAAGAAAGAGAAATTTTAAAAATTATCTGTTCGTACAAATAGAATTCATGCTGCCTTGTATCTGTCTAGTAAAAGAACGCAGGTGATCTCAAAATGTGGCAAGAACTAAAAAGTGGCGCACGAGACGCAGCGAAGTGTGTCACTAACATTCTTACCACGTTTTTGTGACGCTTTCTATAATTTGGTACTGCGCAGACCCACGGCAGCATAGAATATCTGTTTATATGATAAGGAAGCAAAATGTTGTTGATGATGACGTCATCCATGCGTCTATCCTCTTATAAGTCATATGTAAGAACTAGTCAAAACGCAGGCATAATTCAGCTTGGGCTAATTTCAGACGGTAGCGGTGAAAAGTTCGTCCGGTACCGTGTGAATGTAGCCCAAGGCTTTGATAACAAAATGATGCGACATTCTTTTTTACATGGGATTTCACCATCTGTGGTAATATTCTATAATAGTGTTTATGATTATGTTTTGTTCTTTGCAGAACCAGCAGGCTGTGTTTACTCAAGCCATGGAGGACACTCCCTCGGTAGAACAGCCTTTTAACGTTCACCTCACGTGCCCTTCACTAACAATGGTCGTAAGGTGAGCTCTTCACTGAAGGAAGCAGAGGAAACATGCATTCAAACAAAGTAGTTTTGTTTTCGACAGTTGATTGGTAAAACGGGGGACTTTTTAGCATGTAGATGAAAAAGGTTACTTAATTTGTGTTGCTGGAGGTTTTGTGGGCGGCAAGTAATGAAATGCGAAGCCACTTGTGAGATCTTTCGTACCAAGCCCCTCGAGTTTCATTACTTGAGCGCGAACAGAACCGGCGCGTGCGCAGACTAAAAGCTACGTATAATTATGAATATTTTTTGACATTCAACCGTAGATTACTTTCAACAGTAAAACTTGAGGATTTCTACTTCGACCCAGCTTGTTCAAGCCTAGAAATTAAACTTGACTTAGGGCAAGTCTATTGATGCAGTCCAGTTATTTGATATTAAATATTTCGTACTGTGTTATCATTTAAGATTTCCTATTCCCGATTTACGGCCAGCTGTGGATCGACGTCCTTGGTGGCAACAGTCCTTGAGGAAGGAACGCTTGATATTTGACTTTTCAGCTGTAGAATTCAGTACATTGTATTCTGGATCAGAAAACTCTTGCCTTTACAATTTCAGTTTCAAAGAATTACAAGGTATATTCGTTTGGTAACTACATTATGTACTTCATGACTAAGTGAGGGCACCGAAAGGAAATTTTTTGGATTTGAGGTCGTAAAGTTCATAAAGTATGGACCGCTCGATCCGTAGGTGATGACCGAGAGCCAAATATTTTCCCTTCCGGCCCGGCCTAACTTAGTCAATAAACATTTTTATTGGATGACTGCCCCTCTTTTCTTTTCATCCCTTCTTCTTTTACGACCGAAGTAATGTAGCAGCGTTGCATTACTTGTTTAGGGATTGTGCGTCGTTTAACTGGCATGCATGTTGATCGAACTTCGCATAGTAATGAAAGTACATAATGATTTTGACTGAAAATAATTACGTTCCGCTTTGATCTGTAGGGGGGGGAGGGACATGTTATACTTTAGGGGAGCGAACTCGCAAAGGTGGTGGGGGCGAACTTGCAATGGGGCAGAACTTCCGTAAAACCTAAAAAAATGAAGTCATTGTAGTAAGGATATCACAACCTGATCTTGTGTTCTTTCTTCTTTTTTGTATTCAAAGGTTATTTTCAGGAGGATACAAGCAGTAATAAAATGCCAGTTATTTGTGTAACACATTGTCAGTCGGACGAGGAGACAGGAAATGGAGAGTTTGATTGGCCAAGGTAATTCTTGATTATTTCTCTCGGTGAGATTTCAAGAAAAATCATCTCGCAGTATTTCTTAGCTTGAGTAGGCTCTAAAGTGTAAAAAAAAAAAATAATAATAATAATATTTTCTGAATCAGAGTGCCGGTCCCCCCCACCCCACCCCTTCATAGTTCCTTCATTTCATCCGTCTCTGTACAGCTACAAGGGGTTATTTCAAATACGGCACTTGAAGTGAATTACAGGTATGTGATCGCTGTAGGCTGGAAGGAAGTCCCAATGGCTTTGGGACCCAGTACTAAAGTTAACAAAGTTACTTTATTTTTTCTCTCAAGGATTGTAGTAAAAGTCCAGCCCGCGGCTCCTCTATCAGCTTTAGAGGAAGTTCCGTCTTCAGATAACTCGCCTCTCAGCTCCCTAGATGCCTATCCTGTGATGAAAGCTGAGCCGTCGCCATTTTCCTCCAGACCTGTCATGTTTGAGACAGAGGAGGTCAGTGTATGTACATTTTAGGTGCTTGCAGTTTACAAATGAATGACTGGGAATATTTGAAAATCATTCGCTCTGACGAAGGGCTAATGCTCGAAACGTTAGCTTTGAAACCCTTTACCGTGGCCAATCTACATTAGCAACTCAGTTGATAATACTAAATTACCTTGTTACCCCCACCGACGCAGCACCACAGTTTCTTTAGAAATTTATCCCCTTTATTCATTTGTGAAAATCATATATTTGCACTGCGGATCAATAAATGAGCGTGAGAATGATTTTCACCTCACTCTCACTTTCATTTATCAATCTGCAGTTCACATATACGATTCTCCTACATTCACAGTCATTTATTCATCACTTCACGGGTTTATTACGAATAATAATAATAATAATAATAATAATAATTTAACATTTATATTGCGCAAATTAACATGTGGATATGATCAAATGCGCATCACAACACTTTTCGGGGGACTTTGGCCGGACTGCATCAGCAGTTTACAAACAATCGAAGGAAACTTATTTGAGGATACCCCCTCCCCCCAATTCCCAGTAAACAGGCCAGACCACATCACAATAATCTCGTGAGTGGGTTCTTTAACGTCTCCTGCCTATCCAGATTAACTAATTAATAGATGCAGGAGACGCGACCTACGGTTTATTCGTCCTTATCCGAGAAGACTAGAATGTCTATCCATTTCTTGACAYTATAGAAAGGTAGCGCATTCTCCTCAGTTATTTTAAGACCTTGAGTGTTGGTCCCGCCGGGGCTCGAACCATCGACCTCGACCTCCTGCACAACAGTCCAGCGCTCTAACCAATTGAGCTAACCGGGAGGCGGTTCAAACGAACCAACAAAATCACCAGCTCCCAGTTGGCTTGTTAGCTCATTTGGCAGAGCTCTGTACTGGTTTCGCAGAGGTTATGGGTTTAACTTCCCTAGAGGCCTGAATTTCTTTCCAGGCTTAATTTTCACTTCTGCTTTTAAAGTATTGTTCATTACTGCGAAGATAACTCTTATATTCAGGTATACAAATTGTTATCCAAGGGCTTGGTTAGTAAATTAAACTTGTTCCTCAGTGATTTCTTTTCTTCGTCAAATAACTTGAAGATTCTTAAATCAGGTTTTTTTTTCTCCTCACTGTAGCTGCTAATGCCTGGCACAAGGGAGGAAATGGGAAAATTCCAAGAGGACACTGTGTTGACCTCAAGGGTACATGTGGAATGCTCCTTTCCAAGGTTTGATGTCAACTTACACACAAAGGATGTGTTTGAGAACATCTATAACAGGTGATTTGAGCTATTTCTCTTTTAATACTTTAAAATGATAAATCTACAGATTCCCTTATTCTTTGCCTCCTCTGGGCACTCTCAGTTTAATCCAATTCGAGTGAATCAGAGTATGACAGCCCTCCGATTACTGTCAACACAGATTGCAGCTTTGTCGTTTTTCCTTATCCTAGGCTGGCCACTGATCTGTTGCTATGGGAACCCATGGCACCCTCACCCGCTGACCGGCCGGACTCGTTTAGTTTTAGTGTGAGCGCAGGGTTGGATTTGGCGAGCCAGATGCTGAGGGCTCATGGTCCAGATCGGTTTGTCATGTGTCGATCAGGGCTTCGGAGTTACGATGACGGTAAGGTTATTTTGTAGTCTCTGAACCTCAGTTCAACTCTCTCTCACGTATGGCATGGGTCCTTTATGCGACGTGCAAAGTCCCTTTCATCGTCGGTGAAACAAAAAATATAAGTTTGATAAGTTAGAAAAGCAAAGAAATAGAAAAGTTAAACCAAGAAATTTTGAAGATGATTTGGTTATATCAACTAAGTTGAAATAGTAAATTAGCCACCGTAAAGAGTTAAAAAGCTGACATTTCGAGCGTTAGCTCTTCATCAGAGCGAATGTCAGGGGTAATTTTGAAGATGGTCTAGGATGGAGAAGATTCCAAATGACGAGCTAAAAATAATTAAGGCCATCTGTTTCAATAGAACCGTATCGTTATATATTTCCTCTGCAGGAAGTACTCTCCAAGACTACATTCGTGGATGTTTTGAACGAATGGAAAATAAATGAATAAAAAATAGATATACCAATCTAATGTAACTAATTGGCAGGGAAGTTTAAAACACCTAGAAGGGAGAATCACCTTATATTAACGCGAAAAGGTTTAAACATCTCCTAAAACTTTGAAGTCTACTATTTTTTTAGCAACTTAGGGATTCACATCATTCTTCTTTGGGCAGTCGTTATGTTATGCATATGAACTTTAGTCTAAAGAACGTAATGGCAAATTGTCATAACAGGCCCACCTTTCTTTCGTACACAGATGCTTCTTCCACCGACGATGAAGACAGCAGTAATTTCACATCCCTGGAGAACAAGTACAAACGTACAAAATCTAACCCAAACGGACAGACAGCGTTTACACTGACGCTAAATGTGGAAAAGGCTCGACTGGCAGTATTCCCTAAGAGCGAGGTACGATTTACACGCAAACATGAGCATTTTTCACAAATTTGTACAGGGTTCTATGAAGTTTTACATTTTCTCTAGATTTTGTCTCCAAGTGGAAGTTCAAAGGATTCTACCTCATGCTCTGAAGAAGTGTTGGGAGAAATAGCAGCTGAGTTTAATTACGTCTCATTCTTCGTGGCAGCTTGTTATAAGAGTCAAGTAGACCTCACCTATCTTTGCCTTCAGTCACAAAAGGTCGCTTTTCAGCACGCGCCTGTGGTTCCAGAGGCATCTCATGAGTCTATGGAGTCTGCATTTAGTGGAGCTGAGCTCCAGTCTACCCTCTATCACACTGAACCGGGTGTGAGACAAGGCGACGGGAGAACTAGTGAACCAATGTTTGCGTTTGCCATCAAAGTCTCGGCAGATACTTCAAAGAATATTAAGGTAAAAAGGACTGATTTGTCATTTAATCTTACTTCGCTGCAATGGTCAGTAGGAGAAACTATTATCGGTTTTCCTTCTCCTCCTTAAGGTGATTTCGCAGTATTGCATTGCGCATCCTGTACTGCGCATGAAAACAAGTAATCAGGTCAATAAGCGCGCGCATTCCGAGAACATGGTGTTGGTTTTCAATTAATGGATCGGGTAAAGAGGTACGATGGTCTTTCGCTCTCGAACGAGCACGGTGATCTATATCTTTTATTGGTTAATTTTGGTGTACAAACTATCATTTCTCTTTAGTCCCCTCTATATACTCTGTTTGCGACGACTGTTTCCCCCATCCGTCCCCTGACCCCTGACTTCCCCAAAATCCCTCCAATCCCCCTCCTCCCAGGCGGTAAATAATGACAGTTTCCTTGCTTTTGCTTCTGATTTTTAGGAGATTCTGTTGTCTCTGGGACTGCGCAGAAGCACTCTTCGCCACAGAATGCTGGCTTCTAAACAGATGTGGCTGACTCAGGTATGCGCTGTGTTAGGTTTGTTAAACTACAGTACAGAGTACTTTTCACGACCGTGGCCATACTTGGCATAGCATCTAAGTGTCCTATCCCTCTCTCCTAAACTGATACAACTCTTTTAAGTGTAAGAGGGAGAATTTCCAAAAGTAAAAAGTCCCGCTCAATCGAACTTACCCGTCAGAAACTTGCGAAAAGCGGTTAACAACTGTTTCGACAAAACCCTTTTTCTTGACAGGTTCGTGATTTTTTCGACGTGAAGGATGACCCAGTGCTGGGTTTTAGTCCCCCAGCGGTAATAACAGTGTTCCATACGCATGTTTGGGAGGGTACCATTGACTACAGGTGAGTAAAATGTGCATCATTTTTGGAACCCGTCAGGACCGTTTGTTCGTCGCTTTGTTGTTTTGTAGTTATTTAGTCGTCCGTTTTGGCCGGGTGTAATTTTATTTCTTTCTTTCTTGATTTAATTATTTCAGGCCAATCCACTTACCATTACGGGTTCTTGTAACAATGGGTACTTTTAGCGTGTCGAGTAACATCACCGTAGAATCTAATGTTTCCCTTTTGAGGTAAGGCTATTTAGTTGGCATGTTTTCTTTTATTAAGACTTCAACTTGCCAGCAATTTCATTCCAAACGCGGTAAGTTTCTCAAGAAACTGTG